AACTTGACCTCTTCGATTCATGTTCCGCGACTATTGCTCGTTCGTTGTTCGGTTGCCGCCTTTTTCAATCTCACGTTATGGTTTATAGTGCGCCCGATTTCTTTCTTTCGTAGTTGTCGGTACATCGAATCTATGCCGACGCACAGATTAATTGAACGCTCAGTAGAGAACCATGCTTCGATGATTCCTCTTCCTTTGCTTGCCTCTCCCTCTGCCAACACCTTCGTTTTGTCCCAGTCAGAGTTGTGTCTCTCCTCATCAACCTACGCCTAGACCAGTGATGTTGGTTGCTCACATACCATCCGTCACTCTGAAGGGAACCTTGTATATACCAAAAGAGTAATCGAGAGCACACGAAAACCGAAATAACGTTTACGGGATACAGTGTTAAAATTTTGACCGAACTGTAATGAAATCATTTACAAGATTGCAAGAGCACAAAATAGTCTGCCGTAACCATTAATCATCATCACCAGTCTCAGGGTATGTTGATGAGGAGAGGCACAACTCTGATTGGGACAAAACTGAGATACTGGCGCAGAGCGAGACAAGACAAGGAAGAGGAATCATCGAAGCATGGTTCTCTACTGAGCGTTCAATTAATCTGTGCGTCGGCATAGATCCGATGTACCGACAACTACGAAAGAAAGAAATCGGGCGCACTCTATAAACCATAACGTGAGATTGAAAAAGGCGGCAACCGAACAACGAACGAGCAATAGTCGCGGAACATGAATCGAAGAGGTCAAGTTCGAACGTCACTTGATCGTCAATCAAGGGCCGATGACTCATTCAGCGAGATTACCCACTACGCAATAAGGCACTGACGAAGTCACCCCGGCTAGTGATGCAACGTCAGCAGCATAACGGCCAAGCTCGGAGAACAAACCAAAACCTGAACAGCCAACCTGTGTTTACCGTGTTGAATCTTTTCTATTCTCTACTTGTTTCTCTATTTCTAATAGTAATCCGCATTCTTTATTTTTCATATCCAGCGTCGTTATCCCTTGCAATACATGGAAACCTTAACAGGTTCCGCTGGAAGTCCAAACAGCAAGCTTCTTGGTTCGAAGCGGCACGTGTTCCGCAGCGAACGGGCTGAGCAGGCCGAGATTGCCCGCAATGAGACGGAGCGTAGAAACGCTTTGGATCGTGCATTAGATCATCTAACCGCCGGCATACCAGGTACTAATACCTTCTCAGGTTTAATTTACATCATACACTTCCTGTCCCGCTATCTAGGCCTTCGTTTGGGATTTGACTCATTCGTCCAGTAAAACGATGCTTGCGATCTGATTTCGCATTGGTCATCTTTATTTTGTTCACACATGCACACAAACAAGATTGGTCTAACCTTGCGTTTTGTTATGTTGGCTAGTTGATTTGATGCTAAACACCGGTACAGCAAAATTGTTCCCAATTACGCTCCAGCCAATACCCCATTGCACTAAGCCTGAAGATCATTTTCGCCTTAGGAGACGACCAAAACTTCATGCAAACATCAAATTTTCTTCTGAGAATCTGTTAATGTTCATATTGGCCTTCCTTGTACTTCACCTGTTCTACTCCAGCTCGATTTTCAGAACCGCTACCTCGGCCGTTTCTCCCCTCAGCTCTCTCATTTTTCTTCATGAAACCCTTGTGAATTTAACTACTAAGTTTTCACTGCAAAGCGAATTTTAGATTGATTTGATCACGCGAGCGCTTGCGTGGTATGTGCCACGAACCCCGTAGCTTGTTTCTCTGGTCATCAGGTTTTTCTCTTCTTGTCAAGGACAACAGAGAACGCAGCCAACTCGCGCTCAGCTAATTGCTATGGGGAATGATGGTGAGGCTCTATATTCCGCCATTACCAATGCCCTGGACCCTGCTGAAGTGGAAATGGATCTCACAGATACACAGCGTGAGTCGATTCGCCACTACAAAGAGGCTGCTTTGCAGCTTGCACTCTCTGAAGCTGCACCCAACAGGACAGTGAGTTTTAGTTCGCTTCTGTTATCAACTTGTGAGATATCTGTTCGAAAACTTTCCGCTTATTTTTCCCATCTCTCTTTAATCATTTGACCGTTTTGAACAATACAGTGAAAAAACTGGTGTTGTAAGGCCATTTCATTTCGTGCTCTCTGATCACATAAAAACGAGCAACACATGAAACAATCACTGAGGGAAAAGATCAATAGTCTGAATGCTGACAGAAAGAAAGAGGAGGCAAAATCCGGCACAGATTACAGCTGAATTAGAAGTTGTAAAACAAGTGTCACGGTTCCTACGGGCGTTTGAGTTTGACAGTCAGCTGTTTTCGCACACAAAGTCAGGACATTTGCGCCACATAGCCACAGCCTCGGCGAACTTTAGTAATTAGGTGTTTATATTGCGATAAAAGGCATGATACGCCTCGTCCGAGTTGATGACTTAGTAGGTGCTTGTCAACCGATGAGGCTGACATTTTTGAGCTTAACGCCTTTCCTCATGTTTGACCTCTCGTAGTGGTATCAACTCATTATGGGATATGCTCTCCGACGCGCTTACGCAGTCACGGATCTGCTCTACCGATGTAACTGCTTCCGCAGCTACAGACAGCGGTACATTTAATGTGTTGTGGCGAAGATCGGTTAGGTTAGGTTGTCCGGAGGCATTGGCAACTAAAGGGGGCACAGTTTTCGGTTGTCTACCGCAATATCAACGCCAAAACATTAAACTTCGACTAAGCCATGGATGTTAATCGAAATCGTCCTGACTTTTTGTGCAAAATAGCTGACTGTCATACTCAAGCTCCCGTGACATTTGTTTTACAACTTGTAATTCAGCTGTAGCCTGTGCCGGTTTTTGCCTCCAGTGTTTATCTGTCAGCATTCAAACTATTAATTCTTTCCCTTAATGGTTGTTTAATGTGTTGCTCGTCTTTTGTAATCAGAGAGCACGAAATGATATCTTGCAAACCCGTCTTCTCATGGTATTGTTTAGAATAATACAGGGAATACCTTGTTTCAACGTTTACCGTTGGATAAATGTTCTTTTCTTATTTCCTCATCATGCAATTTCCTTATCCGCATCACCGGGTACATTTCACTTATGACCTCACTGTAATCTGTCGATCAATTTTAAACGCTCTTTTTTGCCAGGTAACTCGGCTATTACGTGTCCGTGTTTCCGGACTGCATCCTATGGATGTTGCTCTCAACTATGGTATGTTTCAAGACCGTGTTTTTCATAGTAAACGCCAATGTATATTTTTCTCTTCCTCGCGGTATCTTAAACGCAGTTTCTAACAGTTCTGTGCCCCGTTAGCTGCTTGCACGCTTTATGCCCCAACTTGCGCTGTCAGCTAGCTATCCATGCATCATACGGTTGGCAAGTTGTTGCACATTTGTCCATGCACCGTTTAATAGGTGGTTAGCGTTCATATCCACCCTGCACCTTGACCAACCCCCACCCAGTTACTGCCCGCAATAAATTTTCTTGTTCATCTTCTTCCCTTTTCCTAACGAGCATCTCACGGGCGTTATGCCTTAACTTCTCACTTTGATAAAACAGGCATTCCACTCCCTTGTTCGGTGTTTAATTGCGAACGAGGTAGACAGCCGTGATCACTTGGCCCATATTGGCATTGTCACGGTTCAGACAGTACTCAAAGGTTGCCAGTTATGGACTGTTCATGAACCCAAATTGACTACCTGTTGCTCCCAGTCGTATGTACTTCAAGTCTGATCAACATCTGTGCGAAGCATGATTCATTGCGCGCACACACATAGTGATGCTTCTATTTCACCGGAAAATCTAGTTGGACACCCTCTTTTTCGGGGATAGATTTTCTGTTAGTGTACCTGCTGGGTCATCACCGCGAATGCACGCTTCTGAAGTGCATACAGCGTATTCCTGCCTTTGACATCATAAAACAGAGTTCGCTTACTAGCCCCTGTCCATATTGAAACATTCTACCTGGAGAGTGGATTGAAACACGTGCAGTCATGGTCCCCAATCGCTTTTTGGATCGCCTACAACGCCAAACGTAAGCACGTCATTTATCTTGGTGTGTACGGCTTAGATTTGGGCGCCCTAGCAGTCTCTCGGCCCGCGTACAAACCATGATTTTTCATACTACTTTGACCCCATCCTGCATCGGCCGTCGCGCAGATTCAAATGTGTCACCTTATCTCTAATTAACAGGACGAATGGGCGCAAACATGCTACTACCAACGCCTTTTTTGTTTTCCACCTGTTTCTCTTACTCCCTTCTTTTATAATTCTGCAATACCACTGGAGTTCTGCCATCTGCACCTATCTTCCCAAATAACCCATTAAAATCCTATCGGAAAGAGCCCCTTATAACATCACACTTTCCCTGGCGACGTTCAACGCATACACTCTAAGACAAATAAATGAGCAGGTTGCACTCGCACGCGTTTTGAACAGTTTGGGTACCGACGTCTGTTTCGTGTCCGCAACCAGAATCGATGACCCTAACAGGGTTGTCGTAATAACTGCACCGGGATTGTCCTCTCGCTATTGGATACGCGCATCTGGAGACGCTGGTGCTTAAACCATAGGTACAACTGGAGTGGACATCCTTCTCAGTTTCAAGGCTGAGTCATCCTTGCATGATTGAATTCTTGCGATCAGCGCGTTTGACGACAGCGAAAATTAATTCACGAATTGGTACTAGACGCTATTTGTGTGTTGTCGGGGTTTATGATCCCTCCACTTGCAATCTTGATGCTGCCAACGGCACCTTCTATCACGACCTGAACACTCTGCCTCGTAGTGCCTTCGGTTCAGGTATCGTTGTGGCAGTGGATATGAATCCGCAGTTAGGTTTCCTGAACTCAGCATGGTAATTTGGGCCTAACTCCGAACGCCCCCCCCCATGGCTCAGTGGCTTAAGCTGCTGGCTAGTTGGCATCTGCCTCTAGCGGTCATGGGTTCGATCCTCCTTAGAGGACCGAGGGAATGCGCGCCACTGACGAGCCCCAATAGGGCGAAACGCGTCTCCTCGCAACGAGACTGGACCTTAACGTGGTGCGACGGTTTGCGTACCTTATTGACCCATTGAGCTATACTGGGTGATGCCTCCAGGCATCTTGAGAGCTACTCCTACCAGGTTGGTCAATGGTGAGAGGTCAGAAAAACTCAGTCTCCTGGTCCTCCAGGTTGGGGGTTTGAAATGGGATGGCGTCCATTTCTGTAAAACTAAATCACTGCCACCCCGCTGCCTTGAGGACAGGCTTTTGAGCCAAAAGCTTGCGATGAGGACCCTAATCGTTCTCCTGTCTAGGTCTGGGCGCCCTGGCAGTATCCCAGCCCACATACAACCATGACATTTTCTTCAAACATAAACTTGATCCTGCATCGGCCGTCGCGCAGATTATCAAGGGTCGCCTTATCTGCTGCATACAGCAGGGCGGATAAGCGAAAACATGCTACTGCTGGCGCCTCCCTTCTTTCTTTTCCACCTTTTTCTCTTACTCCCATCCCGGCCCCCATTACTAACCTTCCTTCTATAATTCCCAGCTTAATTGACAGCAACCGAAGTGCTACTGAAGCAGTACCGTCTGCAGCCACCATCTCACAGCAGCTATCGGACGCCTATCGGCAAAAGTCCCTTATAAGGCCACGCTGTCCCGTTTCCATGGCGACATTCAACGTCCGCACTCTAAGACAAACAGGTCAACAGGCTGCACTCGCACGCACCTTGGATACACTGGGTGTTGATGTGTGCTGTGCGTCCGAAACTAGGATTAATGACCCTAACGGGGTTACTGAATTGACTGCACCCGGCTTATCCTCTCGTTATTGGTTGCACGCATCCGGAGACGCCGATGCGGCACTTACGGGTCAAGCTGGTGTAGGTATCATTCTCAACTGCAAGGCTGAGTCATCGTTGGTTGATTGGATTCCGGTGAACAGCCGTTTATGCGCAGCCCGTTTGACGACATCAGCTAAGGTGAATTCGCGAAGTAAAACAAAACGCTGTTTGTTTGTGATTTCTGCTTATGCTCCCACGGACTGCAGTTCTAATGCAGTCAAGGACACTTTCTATCACGAACTGAACATGCTGCTACGCAGTGCTACTAGTTCAGATATTATAGTACTTGCAGGGGATATGAATGCACAAGTAGGGCGTCTGAGCTCTTCAGAAGCTCAGCTGGGTGGTAATTATGGGTTGAACCCCGAACGGACTGACAACGGTGAGCGTCTGCTGCAACTGAGTGCGGAGCACCAGTTGTTTCTTAGTAGCACTGCTTTTAGACACAGTGGGCGCTGAAGTGCCACTTGGCGTCCACCTGTAGCTGACCAGCGATGGACCCAAATTGACCACATAGCCATAAGTTACACGTGGCGCGGTTCCATTCTGGTTTGCCGCTCGTACTGGAGTACCTGTGTCGACTCTGATCATGCCCTGGTGCGTTGTCGTTTCTCCATGAACTTTACCGGAAGGCGCACCAATCGTCTCCCCCGATTGGCAACGGAGAAATTGTTCCAGCCCTCTGTCAGGCAAGCCTATCACGAAGCACTACATAGCGAACTTTCGCTGTCTTGTCCCAATGACACTGAACTACAGTGGAATAGAATCTCGGCCGCTATGCACGACGAAGGAGCATCTGTTTGTGGCACTATCAGTCGTCACCGCACCAGTCACTGGATATCCGAGAGGTCGGTGAACCTATTGGAAGCTAGAAGACATCTCCCGGCTGGTTCTGAACACAATGTGACCAGACGGGCTATTAGGCGTGAACTAAAGCGGAGCCTACGTGCTGACAAGGAAGCCTGGTGGACCAGTCGGGCTCAAGAAATGGAGGAGGCAGGAGCAGTAGGCAATTACCGGAAGCTCTTCCAGCTAATACGCACCACTGGTCCGAGAAAACCAGGCGTCAGTGAGACAATCAGGGACAGCGCGGGTGCGCTGATACACAATAAGGAGCGCCGTATGGCTCGTTGTGCTGAACACTTTCAATATCAGTTCAGCTGACCCCCTGCTCCCGGACCTCTTCCTACTTAGGTGATGCAGGACGTGCCATGGACGGTTAGTTTAGAGCCTCCGTCGGAGGCCGAGGTCCGAAACGCGATCACAGCCCTCAATCGTTTTCGTGCCGCTGGCCCGGATTCCCTCCCACCTGCACTATTTAAGGATGGAGGTGAGGTCCTCTGCAGAG